ATGAATGAATGATTGTTACCACAATATCATGAATGGATCTCAAAATATCTGAGTGAAAGAAGCCATCCCCCAACCCCCTGAAAAAGAAAGTACATACTGTCCATTCAATTTATATAAACTAATATATAGTCACAAGAAGCAAATCAGTGGTTGCCTGGGTTGAGGAGATGAGAGAAAGAAAAAAAGAGATTACAAAGGGACACAAGGAAGCTTTGGGACATTATAGGCATGTTCACTGTGTTAATTATGGTGATGGTTTCACAAGTGTATACATATGTCAAAACTTATCAAAGTGTACATTTAAACTATGTGCAGTTTAGCATATACCAACTGTACCCTAATAACTGTTTTTTTTAAAAGGACTATCTAGGCAACCACTTCAGCTCGCTGAGACCCCTCTACAAAATGCAGTTAGTATCTGCACTGTTTATCTGTTCTTATGAGGATGAGACAAAATAATGAATGTAAAAATATTTTGCAAACTGTGAATATAAGATGTAGGGACATTGTTTAATCTTCATTACTATTAGCACCATTATCAATAATAATATCATTATTATCAACAATATCACAGTCACTACAAAATGACTGCATCGCCTTGACCTTCTGGCACTCTATGTTATGATCACTGAGGTAGTTCATCAATGTAACTTAAAAGAAAAAATAAACCCAGCAAGTTCACTAGTTCCTAGGGATGGCCAGGAGGAGAAGGCAACAAACTGATAAATACAACAGGGTTTACCAGGGAAGTGAGAAAAGATATGTTGTGAAATGCCCAGATATGCAACAGCGAGGGAAACCAAACACACAACTGCTCCTGTAAACGCCCTCTGTGCCTGGACAAATTTTGATTTGAATGCTATCGTGGAAGATTCTGCAAACACATAATGAGGGGAATCTGTGAACTACTGACACCAGAGAAGTCATGGTCAGTTCATCTCTCCAGGTGGACTGGAACCCCAGGAAACAAGATGAGAATAGTGAGTCATCCCCAGCTGAAAGGAGGCAGACCTGCCTGGAGCACAAAGGCCCAGTCGGGGGACTGCAAAAAGGAAGGCAAAGGACCCCGGATTCTGTAAAGAAGAAGGTCCCGACCTGCAGGTAGGCAACAATGATTGTTAATACTTCTGGGCCATCTTTTCAAGAAAGCTCAAATCTGGACGCAGGAAAGAACAATCGAGGGGTCACTCCAAGGCGTATGAAATTGTTCTTCCTCAGGTCGGGGGGAGCCAGGGTGGAGGCAGGGAGAAAGGAATGAACATTTATGAGCACTTACTACGGCTTAGGCACAGCATTTTTACAAACATTATCTTATGAAGTCCTCCCAACAGCGTTGCACTGCTAAGAGCTGAGCTGCAATGACTAATTGGCAGACACTCTTCTCTGTGTGCATGATCTCATTAAGCCCTTTCAACAGCCCAGTGAGGTAGGTACTGGTATTATCTCCATTTAGTAAGTGATGAAGGGGAGACGCAAACAGCTTCAGTAAATTGCCTAAGACCAGACAACTAGTACGAGATTAGACTCATCTCTGACGTCACAGGCTGAGCTCACCTAAAAAATTAGAGCCAGTCATGCTAACTACCTAGAGGACACAGGAGACAGCACAGAATATAGGACAAAATTGAGACAGGCAGGGAGGTTCGGTATTGAAAAGTTCGGGGTCAGGTCAGGGGACCATACCTAAGGCGCAGAGCCTTGAGAAGGAGAAGGGCTGGGTAGTGGGGTAGTTGTACATGTCCTTCTAACATCTGGCAGACAGAGAGACAGTCTCCAGGGACCAGGACAGTGAGCTCAGCACAGTGAGCTGATTAAACCTAAAGGTAACTATCCAACTTCGTCGTAAACTGGGAAGAAAGAAGCTGACATAATCCCTATTTATATAGTCTTTCCTTCCTACCTTCGCTCAAGATATAACGATTGTAGCCAAGCATGACTCTGGGTGAAGTCTTTGGACGGTTGGGAGAAAGTCTGTCTGCTGGAAAACCCTCAGGAACAGCATGTCATGGTAGCCCAGACCTGAGTTTAAATCTTGTTTCTGTCACTCAGTCAGGTGCCCTAGGAAATCAGCTTACCCTTCCAAGCCTGTCTCCATGTCTGTTAAGTGGGGGTATTTAATACTTCGTGGCCTTTTAAGGACGTTATAGAAGGTATTCATCATGTTCTTGGCTCACTGTAGACACTTCATGGAGTTAGTTCCCTTTCTCCTCTCCTCCCAAACACGACTCAAGTGCTTTATGACTGGTGTGCCAGAGCGCCCCCTTCAGGATTCCTGGAAATAGCAGCAAGGAGAACCTGCATCCGATGGAGGGTAATAAATACAGGTATTCAGCGGTTCTCAACCTGTGGGTCATGACCCCTTTGAGGGTCGAACGACCCTTTCACAGGGGTCGCCTAAGACCATCAGAAAACAAAAAGATATTTACATTACGGTTCATAACAGTAGCAAAATTACAGTTATAGAGTAGCCACGAAAATAATTTTATGGTTGGGGGTCACCACAACATGAGGAACTGTATTAAGGGGTCGCGGCATTAGGAAGGTTGAGAACCGCTGAGCTAGAGGGACTGCCTCTGGGAGCTTGCCCTCACTTCAGTGCTAAGAAAGGAACGTCACAGCCTTGCTGCCTGCAAGATCCCAAATAGCCACCCAGTTCAAAGAAAGGGTATGGAACAGGGAGGGCAAAGGGTCTTTCAAATTAGGAGCCTGCCTGGAATTTCCACCAGCTGATGCTGTTGGAGTAGCATCCTGCTGGCTATGCCCAGGTGCTCTCCTTAGATTCTGGCCAACTTCCCAGCATACCCTTCCTTAGCCCCACTGGGCCCAAAGAATCTCAGGCCCTCCTCACCTCTTTCCAGCTGCCCCCACTAACCCTAGTCCCAGGCGGTCCTCTCCTCAAAACTGGCTGCAATGTGGACACAGTTGCCCCAGTACTCCTTCCCTTCCTTGTCACTCTTGGTTGTGTGGGCATAGAAAGAGCACACACCTGGTTGAGCCACTTCATCTCCTAAGCCTCTATTGCCTCACCCATAAAACGCCCCCTACCCCCACCCCCTTTAAGAGTTTCACTATGATATCTACAGGAAGCAGCCAAGGAAGTAACAAAGTTAACCAGTGTGAGAAAGTTAGAAAGGTTCCGGAAAGACCACCAAATTCTTGCAGTCCCTGACTATTCATATGAACATTGAGAAAGGGTTAAATTATATTTACTGAACATATAGAACTATACATTTAATTTTAAAGAGCAAGTTGCAGAAGAATCTGAATGTATATACGTATATGTGTGTGTGCGCGCATCCATGCACGTTGGATTAGTTATGAAAACTAAGGAAGGGGAGTTAACAGTTAACAATGGTTTCTCTCTAGGGCATGACATTAGGATGATTGAAGGAGAGACTCCTCTTTTTACTTTGTACACTTCTGAACAGTTTGATTTTTTTAGTGGATACATATTGCTATTATATTTTAATGGCTATACAGTGGTATTTATTTTACACATAACTACTGTAACAAACAAAATGATAAAAATATAAATAAACAGTGCTAACCAGACCTTTCTCTTTTATATCCCTGCCCTTTCCTTTTATCCCTGAAAATGTTAGTGGTTTAGCTCTCCTTTCTCACCACAACCACCCCACCCCCTCCTTAGAAAAGCAGGAAAATAAACATAAATGAGCAAATCTCTCCGGATTCCCCAGACTCAAATGGGCTCAGTCATGTTTTTGAGCAGGAGTGTCTTTATTTCAAAGTGCTCCCCAGCATTAAATCGAAAATGTCAGATTAGACCATTTTTGAACACCCGCTCCCCAGGTGGGAAAACCAAACTCCACCTAAACTTTAGAGCCTGCCAGAGGACCACAGGGGATTAGCAACTGGCTGCCGAGGGTAGTGAAAGAATATCTACCTTCCAGTCCTTCCGGTCACTGCCTGAGTGACGGTGGATAAGGCCCTTGTCTCTGGGGCTATTGAATGGGTGTCAGTGCCAAACTGAGACTGTTGACGAGACCAAATAAGGTAATGCAAGCAGTAGCACATTTTCAATTGCTAAATTCTTTACTGAACTAAAGTAGGGCAGGGGCTGACTAGCTTTTTACATAAAGGTAGGTCACTTTTCATTTTGTAGGAAATTCATGAGTAGACTCAGAGAGAAGGGAGTAAGGGAGGGTCCTTGGCAGCTAGTGGCATTTTTCCACCACCCTGGAAATCCAAACCATGAAGAAGGCGCGGACACGCACATGTGTGTGCATGTGTGTTACATGTTGGGGCGGGTGCTTTGAAAGACAGTGGGTGTGGAGCACATACAGCATCGGAGCTGTTGCCTGGAGCTGTGGTTCTAACTGGGTTTTGAGATCTGTCAGTAGAATCCTATATCCAGGCAGAATTCAGGCCCAGAGCACAGGAGGGAAGAGCCAACAAGGAAGCCTGTTAACCGCCCTCCCACCCGTTCCAGGGCACCTTAGTCAGCAAGCTGTGGCTAGAATCAGGGGATAAGCCAGGTGGGGTGTGTCCAGGAGCCAACACCAGAGCAGGCACAATGGTCTGCAGGAAAAGAACCAGAGCCTGGGATCCAGGAGACCCCACTCCACCTCTACTCAGCTGTGACATTAGGCAAGTTGCCACCTCACCATAGGGTTCATTTCCCCTTCTGTAATATGATGGGGTTGGACGAGAACAGGACCCTTCTGGCTCCATGAGCATGGTCATTCTGCGCCTGCCCATCGGCAATGAAGCTTCCCAAACAGAGGGCCCACTGAAAGCTGGGAAGTCTCTCTGGAATTCCCTCTGCACAGGTAGGTTTATTTTTTACCCCCTCTGGTTCCTGTGTCCTGCCCTAAATGCACTGGAAATCCGTGAACTCATTTTTCTTTCCCTTCCAGAAGAAAATGGGGAAGCCAGGGAGGCAGACAACAAGGCCGTGTGGCATAATGAGAAGATGGAGAGAGGTGCGGGGACCTGCAACAGAAGGTTACTGCAAGGGCCAGAAGACACGGACACCAAGATCAGACAAACCAAACTTTATTCCGAAAAGCAGGTTAGTAATCACCACTAAACTACTAAATGAGGCACTTGGGTCCCCTCTCCCTACCAGCCCTCAGCCCTCTCACTCCCACCCTTTTGGCCTTTGTAGTACGCTGGAAAAAATCACTCCTGGGTCTGCAAGTGGTCCCAGACTTTGGACTGGGAGCAACCCACAGTGGTCTCAGGCAAGATTGAGTCCTGGAGTCCAGAGAGGCCAATGAGACTGACTCCAGTATCCAAAAGTTCCGGGCCAGGTCAGGTGGCCAGTCCCATGGCACTGGGCCTCAAGGGCGATGAGGGGATGGTTGTGGGGGCCATGTTACATGTCCTTCTTCCATCCGGAAAAGCAGCTGAAGGCCAAGCGGAAGGCACATCTAGAAAAGCCAGTGAGCACTGGAATGTTTCAGGCACATCTGGATGGATAAGTTACCATGAAGGCCAAGGAGACATCTGCTCCTGAGCAAGGTCACCTGGCCACAGACAGAGCACCATGGGCTGGGGCGCAAAGAAGACATCCTCAGGGGCCTGGATCTGAGCTGAGGATGCAGCTTAGATAATGGTCTAAGAAAAGAGAAAAGGAACAAAAAGCTGGAGCCAAATCCCATTGTTTAGTGTACAGAGGCACACGGCTCAGTTCCAGGTGTTTGGAATCTTGTGCCCAAATCTTAGCACGAGGAGAATCAGGATTTCTCTTGTGTTAAGGCAAAATGAATCTTCACCCATCTTGGCTATGCCATTGGATGGTGTTGATAGGAAACGGCTGGGCAGAGGTCGTTCCCTCTCCCCATTCCGAAACCCTATGCTGGCCCAGGTCAGAATGGTGTTGCTCATCCGAAGAAGCAGGCCCTGGGAATCTCCACAGCCTCAGCAACATGGAAACCTGCAATAGGAGAACCAGAGTCACTGGGTTTCCGAGGCACTCCCAAGATTCCCAGCAAAGCCCACCACCAGGCTGTGGCTGGCACAAGGGGTGGGAGCTGAGAGACCAGTTACCCTGCCTGGAGTATGGCAGCAGCATGCCAGCCTGAGATACTGAAGGGCTCAGTGTTCTGGGATTTCCCAGAGGAGAGAAAACACCAAAGATTACTATAATTTTAATCAGTACAGAGTTTAGTTTTGCAAGATGAAAAGTTCTGCAGATGGATGGTGGTGATGGTTGCACAGCAATGTGAATGTACTTAATGCCACTGAACTAACTGTACACTCAAAAATAGTTAATTTTATGTTATGTATATTTTACCACTATTTTAAAAAAATTTAAATAACCATGCTAACAGTATCTAACATGTATTGACCCTACTATATATAGTATAGCCTGGTCCTGAAGAGGCCAAACTGCCAGGGTTCAAATCCTAGCTCTGCCCTTCACCAGCTGGGAGACTCTGAGCAAGTGACTCAACCTCTCTGTGACTCATTTTCCTCATATGGAATATGGGAATAATAATAGAACCTACCTCAATAGGGTTGTTGAGAGGATGGAATGAATACATCTAAGTGCTCTGAGCAGGACCAGGCACAGAGAGGGCTAGATAATTGCTATGGTGACTATGTAAAAACGTACATTAAGTGCCTCTCACCCCCACCCAGATCTTCATAGCTACAACAGAGAAACCTAACACGTCTTCACCTAAGCCTTGAAAACATGCTCACAAAGACACATTCTGGCCTCCCCTATGCTAGTTTCCAATCCAGAGAGGGGTGAATTTTTTCAAAGAGCAGACCTTTCAAGGATTTAGCAAAAAGGCTGAATTGTCACAACTCTTTGGACATTGTGATTGTCACACCTCCAAGTTGCTCTCTGAATACAAACCCTCTAATTCCTAGAAAAGGAGGAGCACTGTTTTTTATTCAAAAGCCTATGACCCCTCCAAAAAAACCACGTTTCTTACCTTACGGAGGCTGGGCCAGCTGTTCATCCCAGCTCCAGAAAGCTTTCTTCTTTCTTTGGTAAGTGTGACCTCTTACAGGTGACGTTCCTTTGACTTGGGAAGCCATACTGAATAACCTTGGCTTCGTTTCCCAAACAATGTAAAGGAATGTTCAAAGCCACCAGTACCCAGGCCTCTCCGCCTGGCAGGGGCAGCTGTTTTTCCTCAAAGGCTGGGCCCCCCCTCTGCTAAAGTCCCTGGGAAAGAGAGAGGGCACCCCAAATCTTCAAACAGACCACAGCCGATGGGTTGGGCCCTTTAGGAAGGCATGAGAACCAGGACAGCACAGGGCTGCCAGGAACCTCAAGGTGACAAAAACTGAACCAGGCCCAGAGGCAGTAAACACTTATTACTCTTGTCTTCTTTTACAGCAGGACTTCTCAGAGCCTTTGATATGCTAGTGACTCCCCAAAAAGGGGAGATAGCACCTTTGACAAACCCATTTGGCCTGGAAACCCACTTTTCCAGGGTAACTCTGAGCCAGGAAGCCTGGGAACACCCACTGCTTTAATGTAAACAGCGCTGGATTGGGAGGGGTTCTAAATCTCATTCTAGCTGTTTTTATGAGCAAATTCTAGGGCTCCATCTGTAATAAGCAAGAGTGGGGCTCACCCTAACATTCCGTGGTGGTCGTGTGGGATCTCTAATGCAAAAAGATACTGGAAGGTGTAAGTAGAGCTGAAGCCTGTGAGAGGAAGGCTGGGAAGGCAAGGCCTGGGAAGCCAGTGTGATTTTGGGCCTGGTCTCCATGAACCGTGAGGGCAAAGGCGGAACAGGCAGAGGCAAGAGTACAACGCGTGGGCCCTTGTCATCCATCTTGGCCCTTGGAGATGGGCCCCGTCCAAAGACATCAAAGCACCGAGGGATGGGTCAGGAAGGAGTCCTCAAAATGCCCTCACAATCCCAAACTAAAACCAAACTCGTCGGCTCATCCCGGGGACCAGTGGAGGCCTGTCCCCAGCTCCGCCCGCGGCTGCGTGCCTGCTTTTTACAGCACTCGAGGCTGGAAGAGGGGCCTGGGTAAGTGGGTGCTCTTCCCACCGCGGGGCGGCAGGGAGGGGGCAGGGGCGCAGCCAGAAGACTGATTCCAATTTGGGAGCCTCCCCCGGATCTACGCGGCGCCTGTCCACGTCTCTCTCTCTCTGCAGGGAAGAGAAAAGGAACCGCGAGGTGTCGCCTCCGAGAGGCCCGTCTGAGAGTGCGCGTCCGCCCCTCGGAGGGTAGCCCTGTCCGGGTCCCTGGAGACAGCGCATCCGGCGCAGCGGTCCGGACTCTGGGCGGTGGCTCCGCAGTCGGACGGGAACTGCGTGTCGGGGTGCTTGGGTGCGGGCGGTGCGGGAATGCAGGGCAAGGGAGGGTGCCAGGGCGTACGGTCGCGGGACGGCAGGAAGGGCTGGGGCGCAGATCTCCGCAGGGTCCCCCGGCCCGCGGCGCGGCGGCCTCACGCCACGTCCTGCTCGCCCTGGTAGCGGCGACAGCAGCCATAAAGCGCTGAGAGCAGGTAGAGGCCGAGGCAGAGGCCGCCGCAGACGGCGGCCGCCAGGAAGGCGTGATAGGCGCAAGACATCTGGTAATCCTTGAGGTTGCAGTAGCTGTGTCTCTGCGTCTGGTCAATCATGATGGCTGTCGCGGCACCGTACAGCGCTGCCGCCAGTAGGTCGTGCGCCACGTTGACCACGAGCCAGCGCGAGCCCAGAACGGGCACCAGCTCGTGCTTGCCCAGCAGTGTGAGGAAGTAGATGCCCAGGGTCAGCAGCCAGAAGAGCACCGACACGAAGAGCGCGAAGTGCACGGGGCCCTGGTACCTGCTGGTGGCGATGGTGATCCAGAAGGCGGCGCCAGCCAGCAGCTGCAGCACCCGCAGCACGCCCAGCGGGCCGCGCAAGAAGGCCCTCTGCAGGCGCACCGCACCGCGGGCCGCGCGCGCCTGGGGCGGCGGCTGGCGCGGGGGCGGCGGAAGCATGGCCCCCGGGCGCGGTGGCGGCGGCGGCGGCGCCCCGAGTAGCGGAATGGCGACGCCTTACTCGTGGGGGCGGCCCGGCCAACGTTCCCGCTGCGCCCGCCGCGGTCTCCTCTCTCCTTCCTAGTCCTTCGCTCTTCCTCTCCCCTGCTCCCCACCCTTCCTCCCCTCTCTCCTCCCCCGAACCTTTCTCTCTCCTCTCCACTCCTCCTACCCGCCCTTTCCCTTCCCCTCCTGGGTCTCCACCCCCGCTAGCTCCTCCCGGCTTCCTGCCATCTCTCTTTCGGCTTCGCTCACCACCCTGGCGCCCCTCTTTCCCGTCGGCGCCAGACTCCCAACTCGCATTCCTGACTCCTCAGGGCAGGGCGGAGGGCATCCG